AAAAAAAAAAAAAAAAAAAAAAAAAAGTAGAAAAGCAAACCTTGGCCCCAGTCTCCAGGGAAGACAGAAATCTCACTCTGGGGCAGAAAATTGACATACAGCCTTAGTCTAAGACTGCTGATTAGTGAGTTGGGGGATTTTTTAAACTATAACTATAGTTCATCTAATTTAGCTGTGAAATAACTAGACCCCAGGACAACCATTTCCCAGAGAGAAGATTGGAGACATTGGTGAGCCTGGAAGAAAAGATGAAACAGCAGTGGAAGAGACCCTTTTTCTATCTCTCTCTCCAATAGAGATATCTCCTGTAGAGATCCAGAACACAGTGAGCTCAGCCTTAGCCGTGACAGCAAAAGTGAGAGCCAAAGTGCAGAATGGCAAGAGTACCAGGAAACCAAATCAGCCCAAACCTTGTCAGGGGAGAGAGGATGAGGATTCTGACTTTCTCGCCTGGGAGTCTGAAAGTCCGAAATTATTATTATCCATAGGCATGACTGGTCTCTGTACTCTCAGCCTAAGAAGTAGTTATCCCAACACCAGAACACTGGCATCATAAAATGTGACCATATTTTAGTGTTTTGAGGACCTGTAGCATAGTGCTGTGTGACCACAGGGAAACATTTCTTGTTGACCTTGCAGATTACCGAATCTGTGTCTCGCACACTCAACAATTAACAGGGAAGGTTTTTATTTTCTCCATTCTGAGCTGATATTTGGTGTCTCTCCTTCTTCCTGGGACCAGCCCCGGCAGGTCATTTTTGTGGTGACAGCGGAACATGAGAAAAAGAATCTCAACTGTGCATGTGGGTTGTCAAGCCTTTGCTTGCTCATCAGCCAAAGCAAGTTTTATGCTTGAGCCTTAAGTGACGAGGTGAGGACGCACACCACAGTGTCACATGGCAAAACATCTAGATGTGTTACCCAACTGCTGAAAAGGAGTGAACGGCTGAAACAGCAATCCATCTTACCACCAAGTGAGACAGCCCTGGGAAAATCTCCTACGTTCTTGGCTTCCTTTTCCTCCATCAGTAAAACAGGTCCCATATCACAGCATTTCTGAGAGCAGACTGAGCAGGTTAACATACATTTTGGGGTTCAGGCTACGCCACCCCAAAATATGACCGGGAGACTAGAATGTACCACCTCGAGTATGTCTTTTTTCAAAAAAAGGATTCTTTTGAGCTGATTATTTTAGGAAACAGTGGACCCAGACGTTGTCCTGAAAAAAAGGAGGAAAGTACCCGTATGTAAGAGAAATTTCTATGACAAGAAATTCTATGTTTGGAGCAGTGTCTATCTCTGCACTGAGAAAAGAAGGATGACTAAATCACTGGAAACTCAATCAATGGAAAAGCCATCAACTTTTGTCTGCATAATAAAACTTAGCCTTGACTGACTTACTGAGCTTCTCCTGACTCATAAGCAGGCCTTCCCCACATGCTTTTGCCTGTATTTCACTAGATGGTATTTAAGACACCTCTTAGAGAGTTACTCTTCCCTGGCCTGCGTGTGTCTATATGAAAGCATAATGACAAAATCTTCTCTGGGGTCCTTTTAAAATTATAATTATAAAACATTCGGGTGTTGAAAAATGTAATAACCTCCAGTATCGAGATGGGTATAATTTCAACCCCAGTTACAACCGTGGTGCTTTGCCTGTTACCTTCAACTTGAACACAGCCACTGTTCAGCCAGTTTCCCTACCTGGAGCTGCCGTGTTCCAAATGTCACAGTGAGTGAAAATGCAGCCAGCTCCTTCTCCCCAGTGACTTTCATTAAGCACAAGAAGCATGCCCACAGAATTTCAGTGGGTCCAGCTTCTGGCCTGCGGAGTAAGAGAAAAACTCCAGTCGTCCCAACAGCTGGCATGGGGTTTGCTCTTACAGAATTGGTTGGGTTTAGGAAAATGCCTTGAAAGGTAATTTTTTAGAAAAAGTAGTACGAATCTTAGGGCATGGGTTAGGGATGGAATGAAAAGGGAACTGCTCTGCACACCAAGGAGACAGAAAAGCAGAGAAAGGAAGAGAGCTGCAAGGGAACAAGAGAAGAGATCAGATAATATGACAACAGATCGATCAACAGAAAAAAATCCCAAGTGGCAGAGAGGCCAAAGCACATCTAAGGCCAGGGATTCTGGGTTGTTTGTGTTGCCTCAATATAACCCACCCAACATTGCCCCTGAATATTCAGGGAAGTCTGATATACCCCTTGATCCCCGTTGGTAGTATTATGAGAAATCAGGGCATCCTACCCCACTTGCAGCCATCCCAGTGAACATGGATCATTTTTGTGTCCTCCCCCCACATGGTCCTAATGGATGCATCTACTTCCTGGGCTTCTCCCAAACCTGACCAAAGAAACTGGCCAGAGAAGTGGACACGGGACGCACACAGGGTGAGAAAAAGGAGTGCCTCCCCGAGACTGCCAACGAACCACCAGACAAAGAAAGTCACTCTTTCCTGCAGTTGGCTGAGCTAGAATGAAGAAAGACCTCACCTGAGGCTTTGTCCCTTTCTTCCACCTCTAAATGAAGAAAGTCCATCCTCAGGAAAAGAAAATTGGGCAAAATACAGAGGGGACGGAGGGGGAAAATAGAGTGTAATAAATCCTTGGAGACATGGTGGAATACTATTCTGCCATAAAGGAGAATGAGCTCCCTGTCATCTGCAGCAAAATGGAACAGTACTGGAAGACATTGTGTTAAGCAAAGGAAGCCAGAGACAGAGACAAGGGTGGCATGTTCTCTCTCTAATGTGGAAACTAAATTTTTTAAAAAGTCAGTTTGAATACAGAAAGCAATTATTCTAGGTTGGTGAGGGAATGGGGGAGGATGAATAAAGGAAGGCTGAATTTAATCAGTGCACATTATTTGCAGATTGACATAGCTACCAAACTCCATTAAAATGTACAATGAATAGATATGTAAACCTGGGATCGTGCCAAAAAAAAAATTTTGGTGGCAGGGGTAGGTACCAGGGATTGAATTCGGGTCCCTATGCCTGTGAGGCAGGCGGCAGATGCACTGAGCTAAATCCATAGCCCTACTTTGCCAAATTTTAAAAAGAGAGAAACACCTGAAGACATTGCTTAAGCCAGACCTCTGGAATTTTGGAACTTCTTTCACTTTCCAATTCCATGAGTCATTACATTCCTTCCTTCTCTTCTTTATTTATGTTTTTTTCACAGTACTGGATTGAAGCCAGGGCCCGGCATGTGCTACCCAAGTACTCTACCTCTGAGCTGCAACCCCAGCCCTGCATTTACTTCTTAAGCTTATTTCCGTTCGATTTCTGTCACTTTCAACCAAAAATTAATTAACCACAGATGCCAGGGCATCTCCTTCCTTTCTCCCCTCTTTCTCTGGCCCTCTCTCCTTCTCTCGTTCTACCACTCAGACCAAGAATTCCACGCAAACTCCACTCCCCAAATGCAGCAGAAATCCCCCTCAGTAGAACAGTTCTCTTCCGGTCCTTTGTCAGGTAATTGCAGAGGGGAAAGGAGAGCCAAATATGACCTGAGATAGGAGAAGAAACTGGAAATCTTGGTTTGTTGTTTTTGTTGTTTGTTTTCATTTTCCGTACTGGGAACTGAACCCAGTGCCTTGACCCTGAGCTACATCCCCAAATTGTTTTTGTTTTGTTTTTTTTAATTTTTGAGACAGGGTCTTGCTAAGTCACTAAGTTGCTCAGGCCGGGCTTGAATGTGAAATCCTTCTGCCTCAGCCTTCCATGGTGCTGGAATTATAGGTGTGCACCACTGGGCACAGCGGAAATACTGTTCCTTTTACCTCTAGATGTGTGGAGAGCAAGAGTTCAGGGCTAACAGGCAGGAAGCAAGGCATCCTGACATCTTCCATTCGGATCAAAGGGGTGCAAGGGACCTGAAATGAGAGAAGCCTGTGTTTAGCTTCAGTAATTGTGGTGCATCTGTGCAATCAAACACTATCCAGCGATGAAAAAGTACAAACCATGCAAAAGCACAGTGTGAATAAATTCCACAGACACAATTTGGGAGAAAAGTCAGACCCATAGGAGTATATACAATCTTGTCCATTTACATGGCATTCAGGAGCAGTCTAAACCTCTTAGATGCCAAGCAGTAGTCACCTTCCGGGGATGAATAACTGCTGTGAAGGCACAGGGAGAAGGTTCTGGGGGACTGAGAAGACCGGATGTGTGAAAACTCTTCGAGCTGAGATCTCTGGGCACTTCAGCCTATGCAAATCATACCTCAGTGAGTTTTTAGAAAGAGTGAGAAGAGCACGGAGAGAGGGGCAATTTCATGCTTCTTTCTTGGGAACTGTGTGCCCGCCCGGTAGGAGCCAGGGAGCTATGGATGTGAAGGAGGTTGACATGGCCAGCTCTGATCGCCCTGCTGTACCCATGCTCCCTCGCATGGCAGCATGGCTGCTCTCTACTTTAGCAGTGGAGAAGGTCTAGAAGGCCTTATCTCCTTTTTTTTCTTTTTTTGGTGGTGGTAGTGGCAGTGCCAGGTCTTGAATCCAGGGCCTCACGCATGCTAGGCAAACGCTCTATCACTGAGTCAAGACTCCAGCCCTAGCATTACCCACTGAGGGACACACAGAGGTTACCAAATCCTGTATTTGCAAATTCAGAACAAGATATTCTTAAGAGTGATTTTGAGGGCTGGGGATTTAGCTCAGTGGTTCCACCACCTGCCTTACAAGCGCAAAGTCCTGAGTTCAATTTCCAGTATCAAAAAAAAAAAAAGTGACTTTGAGAGAAACTGGGTGCTATTAGAAGGCAGGTGCTCATGTTTTATTCTCTGGTAGGAAATTGTGAGATCTTTTCCTATTGTTATGCCCACTCCCCTCACCTCAATGGCACAGTCTGCATTGTGTACACACACACACACACACACACACACACACACACACAAGGAAGAGATGAAGCAGGCAGAGAGCTATGAGCCTCTGGATTATACTCTAAAAGCCTAAGTGTGCAGCAGGAAGGATACATTTAGTGTCTTCACCAGAGCGATCAGGGCAAGTCAAAGACTTTCAAGCCATGAAGAGACTCCCAGTTTGGGCTGGAGGGAGGCAGGGGCTACATACATGTCCCAGCGGGCAGGGAAGCAGGGAGACCCCACAGAGGAAGGGCTGCAGCGACCATCAGGTCTCCACAACCTTCCTCAAGTGTGACCCCAAACTCTCAGAAAGCCACCAGACCATCAGGCTATTCTAATTCCAGGGAAGATGGCTAATCATATGGGTCCTGACATACCTGGACCTGACCCAGGAAGGCTGAGGTTAAAGTTCCCCATAGACCAGCAAAACAGCAGGAATGCATACAGCAAATGAAACTATAGGAGTACTTTTATTTCAGGTAGTCCTGCAATTGTACACTTGTTGCAACTGTAGGTCGTGATTGTAGATCCCTGTTACAACTCTGTGTACTTCTGCATCTTGCATCTTTGATACGATTGGAATCTTTTTAACCTGAAGCTTGTGTATACCTGTGTCTTCCTTGCATAACTGTCAGTAATATTTTGTTACACCATGTCATTGGCTAGAGACACATGAGGCAGGCAGGTATCAGCTGAGGGCGTTTCCACCGTGGCTTCCCTGTGACCCTGGTCTGGCCACAGACTCCTTTGATCCAAGCCTGAGGCTGAACCACAGCAGGGTGGCTGCCTCCCTCCTGGGTTTCTCCACCTCTCAGCTGTGGTGGCTGGTTGCAGGACTGGCTGGGTGCCTGCCTGCCTCCTTTCTTGTCTTACCACAGAGTTCCTGCCAGCCCCTTGGGATGACTTTTCCTCTCAGGCCAGGATTCAGAAATCCCCCACGGGCTGACAAGTCCTGAATTTGCTGAGTCTTATCTGTTTACATCTCACGGGAGAGTGGGGCTGTCCACCCAGTCCCCCCCTAGAACCCTAGAGTGGAAATCATGAGTCCTGGAAAGTGCCTCCATTTCTTCTTTTCCACCAGGCTTTTCCTTGTCGCTTTTTTTTTTTTTTTTTTTTGGTGCCGGGGATCTAACTCAGGACCTTGAGCTTGTGAGGCAGGTGGCGACACCACTGAGCTAACTCCCCAGCCCTCCTTGTCACTTTCTAAAAAGCATCAGTTTCTGTGTCCATTTCTGACCCAGGAACCCTGTCACACAACCCACTCAGGAGCCAAGAGGAGGGGCAGTAGGAAATGAAAAAAGGAAACCAATACTCCCTAGTCTGAGTTCTCACTGGGCTATTGATCTTCTTAGCAATCAAGCTATTCCACTTTGCTTAGCCATGCTTTCCATGGGGCTGAAGCTGCTACTTACCACTCATGGTGAGGTTTAAAAGAAAAACATGTGAGGCATTGCCTGACGTGGTGCAGAGTGAGGTGAGTGAGCTGGGGCGAGCAGGGGCTCCTTTGAGAAGCTACTGCGTGAGTCACACCACCTCAGGGAACCTCAGACCACTGCAGGTCCGAGGCTGGGATGAAGCTCCGTAGAAATTGTCCCCCCAACGCCTACTGGAGTCTCCAGAGCACAACCGCTCCTACTATGAGCCAGGCATTGTGTACAATGACAGCATCTCCTCTTCCCAGGCACCGGTACTCCGGGGAAAGCCAGCCCATTTTACAGCAAGGTGCTGGCCCAGTAACAGCATGGCAGCAACTGAGCTTTCACAGCTTAAATGGCAGAGGCCTGGTGTGATGCAGAGCTCTCTGACTCAGTCTGCACTCTGTCGGAGGAGATACTATCTACCCTTCCTCCCCAGGCACTTCTTCTTTGGGAGGAAGGCACGTATGTTTGGTGTCAAAACTAAAAGCTCACTTCCCCTGCGGTGAGGGCTCAGTGAGGGGCCAAGGACAGGAAGGGGCCCCTGTTGAGCACCCGGGTCATTCTGGTCTCAGGGGCAAAGTTGAGCTTGGAATGAAGCTCCTGCCTCCAACACCTGGCCATGACTTTCAAAAACAGATCAAATAGGGCCAGGGATTTAGCTCAGTGGTTCTGCTGCCTCCCTCATAAGCGCAAGAACCCAACTTCGATCCCCGGTATAAAAAAAAAAAAAAAACCCAAAACAGATCAAACATTCACATGGTACAAAATTCTAAAAGTACTAAGTGGCATAAAAGACGGAGGCCTCCCTCTTTACCCTGCCTAACAGAAAGATAACTGATACCAGTGTTTTATGCCACCTCCCAAAGAGCCTAAACCAGGCAGTCGCGCACACCAGTAATCGTAGCACTTGGGAGTATCACTGTGAGCTTGACCTGGGCTACATAGTGAGTTCAAGGCCAGCCTGAACTACATAGTGAGATGGTGTGGGGAGAATATTCCCGTAAGAGGAAAGATGAGTGCATTGTATTGTTTTGTTATGATTTTTACATGCACACATTGTAGCATTCTGTAGGAGCCAATCTGCCTGCCTTGCCTCATTCACTTTCTGTCTTAAAGATTGGTCTAAATCTGCCTATAGGGGCTGCCTCCTCCTTTTACTGCTGCTGGACTTGCCTTTATATGGGAGCACCAGAATTATTTCATCAGTCCCTTACTGATGAGCAGCTAGGTTGCCTCCAATCCTGATCACTACACACCATGAATATCTTACGTAGATTAAGTTGTACATTTGTGATCGCATCTATAAGAAAAATCCCTAGAAGTAGAATTGCTAACGCTTGTTAAATATAATATGTGCCTTTAAAAATTTAATAAATTGAGCCAAGCTCCATGGAGTTTGCACTGATGTGTAGCCCACCAACAATGAAAGACAGCCAAGGGAGTGCTTGTGATATGAAGAAAAGATCCTTAGCTGGAAGACATTGGTTGAGGGGCTCCCAGGCAGGTCTAAGTCTGGTTCAGAAATTCAGCCTAGGACAAGTGATGTCAGCACCAAGAAAGCCACCCATTTCAGAGAAGAAAACCGAAGTGCAGAGAGGTGGCGTGCCTCACTCAGGGGCGTGACCTGGAATCCTGCAAATTACAGAGAATTCCTCCTGACCATGCGTGCGGGCTTCTCCCTCTGACCTCAAGCTGTGGCCGGTCTCCTGTGTTGAAGTGGCTAAAACTTGGAGAATCCAGCACCCTCCCACTGCAAGCTGAAGCGGTTAGGCCTCCCTCATGGTTCAGAGATCCTCTGGTCAGTTCCTTCCCGTTTACAGGACCACAGGACCAGCCTCACCCTGCCGCTGCCTACAGCCCATCTGAGGCACATGAAGCACTTCTCTGAGGTTCACAGCAGAGAATGCCCTGGACATTCGTCTTCCAGCCTGCGGAACTGAAAAAGCTCAATCAATCCTCTCCGTGGTCATCACTGGACAGTGGGCAATGAGGGTGTGAAAGAAGTCAGAGCAGCACAAGAACCATGAGTGTCATCATGAGCCACTCTGGAAATGGAGGTAACCACGGCGAAATAGTTCTTTCACCTTGTGCTTGGAAAGTACTTTCACTTCAGGAATTCTAATACTCATTGTGATAGCTAATCTCTTGTGTGTGTGGTACTGGGGATCGAACTCCAGACCTTGCACTTGCGAGGCTGTGATTGTTAATCTTGACTGTCAATCTCATTGGCTTGAGAGGCACCTAGGAGATTAGTAAAGCACACATTTGGATGTGTCCGGGTAGGTTGTGGAGGTGTGGCCACAGGGAAAATATCCGGTCCTTAGCTGCTTCCTCTCTTGCTGCCTCCGTGCTTCCTGGCAGCCATGAGGTGAACAGATTTTTTCCACATTCCCTTCCACCGTGATGTTTCTGCGTTTGATCCAGACAATCTATAAAACAGTAAGCCAGAATAAACCTCTCCTCCTTTTTCCCCCCAAGCACTGGAGATTAAATCAGGGCACTTTACTATTGAGCTCTATCCCTAGTCCTTTTTACTTTTTATTTTCTTACAGGTCTTATTAAGTTGCCCAGGAAGGATGTGAACTTGTGATCCTTCTGCCTCAGCCTCCCTAAGTGCTGGGATTACACTGGATTACATCAACACTGTGCCTGGCTTCCTCTCCTCCTTTGTAAGTCGTATATGTCAGGTATTTTGTCACAGCACCAGAAAAGTAACTAATACACTCATTCTTCCCATTTTAAAAAGAGAGATAAGGAATATGACTGGCTAAGACGAGAGCCAAACCCAGATTTTTTGGCGTCTAATTGACCACATTTTGTTCTGTGCTGGGATAAGCAACCTCCTGG